CCCACCATCCTGCGTGTTCTCCTCCTGCCCCTCAAATTCCCACCTAATAAAGATTTAATCTGGGAGAGGCCCAGGGAGGAGGAGGATGGGCCAGGGGTGGGATCATGAAGGTGGGACATCCTCTGAGTGTCACATGAAAGGTGAAGCAGGTTCTGATCCCTGGTTTCCTGGGAATATCACTGCCCTGGGATCCCCCTTTACCAGGAGGAAGGGTGGTCACTGGTGCTGGCCTTGTGGCTAATGGGTCCCTTCCTACACCATGGCTCCTGGTCCTGCCACAGCTCCAGCTGCTTTGTGCCATCCCAGCTGCCCACAGAAGCCCCTTGTTTGGTGGTGACACAAACCACTTTGGGGACAGTCCTGAACTGTCCCTGGTTTTGTTCCTCCTGGGTGCTGATGTCACCGTTGGGTGGGAGCAGAGGGTGCCCTCACCCATCCCCTCCAGCAGCCTCGTCAAATTCAGTGCCCACCTGTGCCATGGTGGGGACTGGCCCAAGGGCTGCCACAGCCACCTCTGTGCTCCACGGTCCCAGTGTCCCTGATGTGGGACATGGGGGACCCAAATGGGTTACGGACACTCCTTGGGGAGCCAAATTTGGGGCTCCATGGTGCATCTCCAGCTTCTGATGGAGCAAAACCAGGACAGGTGGCATCTCCTTTACTCTTGTCCCCGCTGTAGGTTCCCCACTATGAGTTCCTGGACCTGAAGTTGGAGCGGCAGCGGACAGCCTACCTCAGAGACAAACTCAACAAGGCCGTGGCCAAAGAGATGGCCAGTTAACCACGGTGCCACCACCTCTCCAGCAACGCCTGTCCCTGCTCAAAACCTGTTTGAATAAACGAGCCGCTGTACAGTGCCGTGGTTTGGGGTGCCAGTTGACCACGGTGCCAGTTGGCCATGGTACCAGTTGACCATGATGTTGGTTTGCCACGGTGCTGGTTGACCTGGTGCCAGTTGACCATGGTGCTGGTTGACCTGGTGCCAGTTGACCACGGTGCTGGTTGGCCATGGTACCAGTTGGCCACGGTGCCAGTTGACCATGGTGCTAGTTGACCTGGTGCCAGTTGACCACAGTGCCAGTTGCCCATGGTGCTGGTTGGCCATGGTACCTGTTGGCCATGGTACCGGTTGACCTGGTGCCAATTGACCACGGTGCTGGTTGGCCACGGTGCCACGTCAGCCATGGTGCCAGTTGACTGTGGTGGTGGTTGGCCACAGTGCCAGCTGGCCATGGTACTGTTTGACCTGGTACCAGTTGGCCATGGTGCTGGTTGACACGTGCTTTTGCTTCTCCCTGGGGTGAGAGATGGCTCCGTGCTGACGCTCAACGGGACCCCCGGTCACCACAGCCAGCTCCCAGGGGAAACTGGTTTGGGATTGGGAGCCCGGGTTTGGGATTAGGAGCCCGGGTTTGGGATT